TTCTCAGATTATTTGCTCAGCATACAGGCTGAATGAGTATGGTGAAAGAATACAACCCTGTCACACACATTTCTTAATTTGAAACCATTCAGTGTTCCCACATTCTGTTCGAACAACTGCCTCTTGGTCCAGGTACAGATTCCTCATGAGCACAACTGAGGTGTTCCAGAATACTCATATTCATATTTCAGATTGTTATTGTTCTGTGTCATGGAGTCAGGTCCAACTCATAGTGACCCTGTACAGGTTTTCCGAGGTTGTAAATCTTTACGGGAGCAGAAAAACCTTGTCTTTCTCCTGCTGAACAGCTGGTAGTTTCGAACTGTTGACCATGAGATTAGCAGCCCGATTCGTAACCACTACGCTACCAGAGCTCCTTATATTTCAGATAGGGAATAGTTTATTCTCATCCTTTACTACAAGGAAAAACAAGAATACACAAAAACTTGTGTAAGAATGTTCATAGAAGCATTTTTCATAATAGTGCAAAACATCAAACAAGGCTATGCTCAAAGCTCAATTAACAGGAAACAAAATATGATTTTAAACTGTTAAGATGAAATTTGGAATTAAGTTGGTAAGATTCAAAAACACAATCATGAATCAAAACAATACATATAATGCATTTATAAGAATGTCAATTTTATTATAATAAATAATCTTTACATATGTTTTTTATTTGCTATTATAAAATTTAGGAGTTCTGGGGTGGTGCCATACATAGGATAAGCACTTACCTCCAGGTTAATATGAACTGCAAGGTTGGTGGTTCAAGCTCATCAGCCGCTTCTCAGAAACTCAATAGAGGGTTGCTATGAGTCAGAACCAACTAGATAGCACTTTACAACAACAACCAATTATAAAACTTACTAGCTAAAATTGACAAACTGATCCTAAAATTCACATAGACATGCACTAGGCAAAACAATCTTGAAAAGAACTAAATTGCAAGATGCACACCTTCCCATTCCAAAGCTTACTACAAAGCTAAAATAATCACAACAATGTAGTACTGTCATAAAGGCAGACAATAGAATAGAGTTGAAAGTCCAGAAATGAACCCTCATTTGCAATCACTTGATTTTCAACAAAGATATCAAGACAATTCAGAAAGGGGCAGGGGAGATGGGAAGAGTCTTTTCAACAAATGGTGCTGGGAATTGTTGTTGTTAAGCACCATCAATTCAGTTCTGACTCTGGCTTTACATCTGTGGGAGCAGAAAGCCTCATCTTTCTCCCACAGAACAGCTGGTGGGTTCAAACTACTGACCTTGTTTTTTGCAGTCCAGTCCTATCATTTGCTGTTTTGTGGAAGCATGTCAGAAGTGGGGAATCGTTTTTCTGCCAAAATTTCTAACACCATTGGTGGGCCACACAAAATTATCAATTTAGAAATTAACCTGATATATTTGGTAGGACATTTCATTGTGACACTACAGGATAAGCAGTAGGTCGGTTTGAACCGCAAGGCTGATGGTTCAAACTCATCAGCCACTCGTTAGAAATACTATATACAGTGTCGCTATGAGTCGGAAGAGACTTGAGGGCACATAACAACAACAATGTGATGACCGGAACTACGGTTGTGTTGGCAGGGCCAGACCAAATTTCTCAGGTCTTATACAGCCTGCGGGCCGGACATTCCCCATCCCTGTTGTATGTCGTGAGTCAATTCTGACTCGGAGGACCCTGTATAGGGTTTACCAGAGTGGTTGATGGGTTGAAACTGCCAACACTGCAGTTAGCAGTCCAGCACCCCACCATGACTCAATGCTTTTCATAGCTTCATGCAAATGAAGGAAAGCGTACCCCTTCCTTGCACCATATAAAAATTAACTCCAACTGAATCATATACCTAAATGTCAGAGCTAAAACTATAGAACACTTTGAATAAAACACAGAAAAAAATCTTTGTAATCTTGATTTAGGCAAAAACTGTAGATAGGACATCAAAAGCACAGTGATTTCTAGCTCGAACTGACAACAGCTACTCAAAAGATTAGACAGGAAACTTAGGGGGAAGTGAGTTTATGCGAATAGGGAAGAAGAACTCAGAAAAGTTCGTGAGAAGGGTTACTCAACTCAGAGAGTATAATCAATGTGGAGACTGGTGGGGTATGTTGTGCTGTGTATATCCTCAACAACAAAATAAAATTTTTAAAAGACACAAGTGATAAAAAAGATAAGCTGGACTTCATCAAAATTAATAATACTGGTGCTTTTGAAGTTCCCATTGAGAAAGTGAAGGCAACCCATAAAATAAGAGAACATAATTGTAAATCATATATCTAACTAAACTGCTAACCACAAGGCCAGCAATTGAAACCCACCAGCCACTTCTCAGAAATACAAGGTGGCTATGAATCGGAACAGATTGGAAGGGTCTTAACAATAACTTGAAAGGATGCTTAACATCTTTAGGATCAGAGAAACTATAAAAGACAGTTCTAATGAACAACTGCTTCAACCCTTCATAAGGACAGCGATTATGAAAAGACCGCAACCCTTAGACATTCCTGGTGGAATTGTAAAATGGTGCAGCAACTTTGGAAAATAACTTGGTAATTCTTCAACATGCTAAACATGGAGTTACTATGCAATCCGGTAATTCCGCTCCGTTGTTGTTGTTGTTGTTGTTGTTATGTGCCTTGGAGTCGGTTCCGACTCATAGCAACCCTGTACAGGGTTTCCAAGGTTGTAAATCATTACAGGTGCAGAAAGCCTCATCTTTCTCCCGCGGAAGAGTTGGTAGTTTCTAACTGTGGACCTTGCAGTTCGCAGCCCGATTCCTAACTACTACACTACCAGAGCTCTTTGTACTCCTTGGTATATCCCTCAAACAAATGAAAACATACATCCACAGAAAAATTAGATACAAGTGGAATATATGATGTCACATTGTGGGGATTGCAATCCATGAAACAAAATGTGTATGTTCAGTGGAATCTGACCTGCTCTGTAAACCTTCACCCAATTCACAATAAAAGGTTTTAAAAAAACCAACTAACACACAAATATTCAAATCAACAGTATTCATAGCTGTCAAAAAGTGGAAACAAACCAAATGTCCAACTGATGAATGGATAAATAAAATGTGGTATATCCACACAATGGAATATTGCTCAGCAATTAAAGGTAATATACTGATACATGCTACAACATGAACCTTGAAACCATGCTAATTAAAAGAAGCCAGTCACAAAAGACATATGAGATTCCATTTATATGACATGTCCAGAAGGCCAAGTGGTAGCATCAAAGCACTCAAGCGTGGCAACAGTAGTGAAGTTGGCCCAGGGTCCCACAGTGTTTCGTTCTGCTGTGCATAAGGTCACTATGGGCCGGTGCTGACTTGATGGCACCTAACAACAACAACAATAGTGACAGAGGACTCCTGGTGTGGTGCTGTGGGCTAATGCATCAGACTGCAAAGTCGTTTGAACTGCAAGGTCGGTGGTTCAAGCTCACCAGCTGCTCCTTGGAAACCTTACACAGTGTTTGTTATAGGGTCGGAATCCACTCGATGACCCTTAACAACAGTAACATAGTAACAGAGGACTAACTCCCGGTGTGGTGCTGTAGGATCAGCACTGGACTGTGAACCACCAGCAGCTCCTCGGAAACCCTACCCAGGGTGGCTATGAGTCGGAACCAACTCGACCTTGACGGCACATAACGACAACAAACACGGAGTGACAGAAACTGGATTAGTAGTTGCCAAGCGCTGAGGGTAAGAAATGGAAAGTGATTTCTAATGGGCAACAGGCATGGCATTTCTTTCTGGGATGATAAAATTGTTCGAAAACTGATTGTGATGATTGTTGCACAATTCTGTGAGTATATTAAAAACCACTGTACTGTATACTTTAAATAGGTACATGAATTATAGCTCAATTAAGCTGTAAACACAAACACACACACAAACCTTAGTGCCTAGTTTAGGCTGCTTGTGGAAAACAACATTTAAGACAAGGTACTATTAACTAATTTGATCACGAAGCGAGTTCCATGCTTCAGACACTAAGAGTTGAGAATTTCGGATACACTCCTTAATCATTGAAAGATGATTCCTTTAACCATTTCTAAGTCTTAAGGAAAATGGAAGTGTAGTACTTGCGACTGTCACAACACAGAAATAGGATTGATCCCAGATACTTGAGTAAACATGCTACTTTGCCGTACAGGGTTGAACAGTACTTCCCATTCCAACAAACAAGACCTGCAGAAAAACACTCCACGGGGAGCATGAGAAGTCATTCTCAAAAGAAGAAAATCATACTAAATTAAGAAAAAGAGGGGTGTGGAAACAATGAGGAGGGGCAACACCGGCAGGGAACAAGAAGTCTCGGTGCGTTTAAACCCAGGCAGTTCAGTTGCATTAAATTCAACTTTGATAGACGCTTTGTCAACAGGCCCGAAGGCAAATCCTGAGCGCAGATCAGAGCTGCGAGGCCCGAGAGGAAGTGCTGATCCAGCCAGCCCTGCACGAGATTCCGTGTGGAAATGGTGGGGAGCACTGGGATAAGATGGGGGCCTGCAGTACCCTCCGCCGGGCTCCAGCCAGCGCTCCCGGGCAGCGCGCAGCCGGAGGCGGCCGCCCCGCCGGCCCAGCGTTCGTGTCCCAGCCGCCGCGCACACCCCTTGTGAAGCGCGCCCGGAGCCCGGAGCCTCTGGCGGGGCCGCCTCCCGTCTCCCGCCCTATCCGGCGCTTTGTCCTGAGCCCCGGCGGCCGGCGTCCCCTCGGCGTCCACGCCGCGGACTGAGGGACACCGCTGACAGCCCCCGTGCCCGGTAAAAGCAGCATTTCCATGTGTCCGGGTCGACCGGCGACCCATAGCCGGCCGGGCGACCCGCAGCCAGGCGGGATCCAGAAGGCGGTCCGAGGACGCTCTCCCTGCCCGAGGAGCCTTCGCCGCCGCCCAAAGCGCACACAGGCCGACAACAGGCACCCTAAGTCTCGGACGCCGAAACCCACACAGTTTCCAACATCCTCCTCTTACCCAAAAATTCTCGACGAAATGCGCCATGACCATCGTGCCGCCGTGCCGGAGTTCGCGTCCGCACCCTCCTGTCCGCCACTGGGTAAACACGGGCCCGGCCCCCACAGTGCCCCCGCCTTTCACCGCCACAGCCGCCGCCGACACCGCCGCTGCCGCAGCCTTCTCAGTGACCGGCCCGAACCCTTCAGGGCGCATGCGCCACCTAGCGGCTACGACCGCCGGGCAAAAACTTGGACGACACCTCCTGGCTGCGCGCATGCGCCCGGAAATCCATTCCAGGCTTCTGGTCGCTTTCCTCTTTCGCCAGTCTAGGCGCGGCTAGATTTGAGTATTCTCTTGGGAATGGTAGAAAACCGAGCCACTGAGGAGTCACCGGACAGACTGTCCTCTCCCTCTACAGTGTGACAGATACTGGCCCAGGGATGGAAAGAAGAGTGCGGACTGAAGACTGCAGTGAAACCCGACTGCCCACCGCCCTCTTTCACTTCGCAAGACTTCTCCAGTTCCTCCGGCCTTCGGTCTCCGGACCAAAGTCTAGGCAAGCAGAAATGGAGGAAATTTGGCCTCTAGCCACGTGGGCGACGCTGAGAAACTTTTAGTCAACAGGGTGTCTGTCCTTGACAGGGAACTAAGAGCCAAAACAAAACTTTCCGAGACCGGAAAAGGAGGAAACGCCCAGTGTCGCCTGAGAGCCCCGGGAGCTCTGGGAGACCCGGAGCAGCCAGTCCCTGACCTCTAGCACTCCTGGAGCGCACCAGCCGAGACAGCCGAAAACACGACCGGGATCCAAAAGAGTGTTTACAAGTCTCTTTCAGGATTTATCCATCGTTCTCTTAGCAACTTGTACATTATGGGAAAAAAAGCAAGTTTTAACATGCCTCGATCTCATAGAGAAATTAAATCCTCTTCCCACGCCTTGCTTTCCAAAGGCTTTAAAAAAAAATTAAACTCTTGAAGAAGTCTCATGTTCACTATCACCAGGTTATTTGCCTCCGGTGAAGGAAGGACTCTTTCTATGAAACACTAAGCTCAAAAGCTGCAGTCCTAGTAGTGAAGTCCCACAAAAAGCTTTAGTATATTTATGTATAAGTATGCTTACCACATCTCAGGTTTTGTGACTTGAAACATAGTGAACACTACGACACTACTTCTGCAGAGGAAATCGTTTTCATCCTCCAAAGTAAAAATCATGCAGAGCCTTTCACATAGCTTGAACTATAAAGTGTTTGTTGAGTTGGGAAATGATTGTGAGAAAGGTTCTGTGGCTATATCTTTAAAAGAATAGAAGACACCAGTGATTTGCTTTAACATAATTTATTGAGGAAGAAGAGATGAGTAGGACTACAGATGAAACAAAATTGGCCATGAGTTGAGAATCGAGGGAGCGGAGTGATAGAAATGTGGCTCTTTATATAATTCTTTTCATTTTTGTATATATTTGAGATTTTCTACAATAAAAGTTTGTATTACATTGGAAATGCATTTTATTAAGACTTTCATTTTTCAAGTCTTCATTATAATGTCATTTATACATAGTTTAGAGGACAATTCAATTTAGATCTATATTACATTTTCCAAACCATCACTCTAATGCTTCTGTCTTTCTTTCTTTAGTGCTATCTTTCTTGATATACAAGAAATTCTAAAAAGATCCAGCTGTCTAGATCACACTGCAAATAAGCTTGCCCTAAATTCCTAATATCCTTAGTAGTAACCACCCTCAGGCACAGGTAAGAGAGTTCCCTGCCTTGGCCCTGCACTTCAAAGGACCCTATATATTGTCCTCTGTGGTAGCTTAAGAGTTACTATGATGCAGGAAGCTATCCCACTGTTATTTCAAATACCAGTAGAGTAACTCATGGTGGACTTTTACAGAGCTACCTGACTAAGACAAACTAGAAAGAGGGTCATCGTGATTTACTTCTAAAATCTTGCCCAGTGAAAGCCTAATGAATATCAGTGGAGCACTGTCTGAGATAGTGCCTGAAAATAAGCCACTCAGATTGGAAGACACTGAAAATATAACTAGAGAATAGCTGCTTCCTCAAATTAGAATCAATCTTAATGACGTGTATGGAGTAAAACTTTCTAGACTTTCATTTGCTGATGTGGCATGACTCAAAATAAGAAAAAACAGATGCAAACATCATTTATAATTGGAATGGGAAATCTATGAAGTATGAATCTAGGAGAATTGGAAGTGGACAAAAACGAAATGGAATACTTGAAGGTAGATATCTTAGGTATCACTGCCAGATGCAGATGACACCACCTTGCTTGCTGAAAGCGAATAAGACTTAAAGCACTTACTGATAAGATCAAAGACTACAGCCTTCAATATGGGTTACACCTCAACATAAAGAAAATTAAAATCCTCATAACTAAACCAATAAGCACCATCATGATGAACAGAGAAAAAAATTGAAGTTGTCAAGGATTTTTCATTTTATTTGGATCCACAATCAACGCCCATGAAAGCAGTAGTCAGGAATGCCAACGATGTATTTCATTGGACAAATCTGCTGCAAAAGCACACACACAAAGCTGTTGCTTCAAAGACTAAGGTGCACCTGACCCAAGTCATGGTATTTTCAATCACCACATATGATAATGAAAGCTGGGCAATGAATAAGAAACACTACAGAAGAACTGATGCCGTTGAATTATGGTGTTGGCTAAGAATAATGACTATACCATGGACCACCAGAAGAATGGAGAAATATGTCTTGGAAGAAGTACAGCCAGAATGCTTCTTAGACGCCAGGGTAGCAAGACTTCCTCTGATGTGCTTTGGACATATTATCAGAAGGAACCAGTGCCTTGGAAAAGGACAAAAAAAGGCTCAAAAAAAAGACCCTTAACCAGACGGTTTGACACGGTGGCTGCAACAGTGAACTCCACCATGACAATTGTGAGGATGGCACAGGACCAGGCAATGTTCCATTCTGTTGGACCTAGATTGGCTGTGAGTCAGAACCAATCCTATGGGCCCTAGCAACAATAACAACATATCATAAACGCATACACACACACACACATACACATACTAATTTATTTTTATTAAAAAATACATGCGTGCTTCTGACACTCATTATCTGGTGTTCAACACTGGCACAATATGAACCATAGCCCTAAATACTCTCTCATGACCAACACCATCCAGGTTCCAGAATAACACTTGGCTTCACACCTCTGCCTTATAGCCTCAAAACAAAACGTAGATTCCAAATGCAATAAAAGGTTGTGAGGTATGGCTACTGTTATGGATTGAATTTGTTTCCCCAAAATATGTGACTAATATCCTAATCTCTATGTCTATAGTTGGAATCCTGGTGTGGTGCTTCTAGGAAGAGCACTGGACTGCTAACTACAAAGTTGGTGGTTGAAACCCACCTACCTCTTCTTGGGAACGCCATACAGGTCACTATGAAGTCAAAACCCACTCACAGAAGTTATAATCCCATTTGAGAATGGGTTGTCTTTGTGATGTTAATGAGGCAGGATTAGTGTAGTGTGTGTCTTGATCAACCTCTTTTGAAAAATAAAGAGATTAAACAAGCAAGCAGAGTGAGCAAAGGTGGGGTAAAATAGATGCCAAGACACACAGAGATCTCCAAAGAATCAGGAAACAGGCTGAAAAGACAAGGACCTTCCTTTAGAACTGACAGAGAAAGAAAGCCTTCCCCTTAAGCCAGCACCCTGAATTTGGACTTCTAGCTTTCTAAATCATGGAAAAATAAATTTGTTTGTTACGGCCATGCATTTGTGGTGTTCTGTTATACAACACTCGATAACTAACCAAGGGTCTATCAGAGATAAACTGCTTTGGAATTCAGGCAGGATTTAAGCAGCAGAAGTACGTATTGAAGAAGAAGACTGACTAGTCAAAGCCTTCCTCTTAGCTTGAATGTAATAGATTCTTGTATGACCACATATTGATCCCCAGTGGTGTTACCCTCAAGTGTGCCATTGTTAGACATTAGTATAATTCTCATCTGCCAAGAGGGAGACTTTACAACGTGTGGTTTGGTTGTTCGAGTGGTCACCACAGTGAGTTGGGAGCCAACTCAATGGCAGCTAACAATAAGATTCCAATTTGTAATATGAACACTTACAATTTAGCACAGTATTGACAATAGTTGTTTCCATTTGTACCCTTTTCTCTCGTCCCCAAATATTAGCATATGCCTGCCATGAAAGTAAATTTCCCGTGTATTTCAGGTATGTGTAAGGTTCTCATGAACCAAAACTCACATCCCATACTCTGTTAAGTCTGGCGGTTAGCTTGTAAATAGTGGTTAAAGTGAGTAAATTTCAGATGAAATAGTCCAGTATAAAAGAATGTGGGTGGTATCAGTTAGCTTCTGTCCTCTGAAATGAGGTTTCTGGGGATGCATACGGTCTCTGGCAGAGCACAGATAAGACTGGGAGTGGGGGGAATAGTTCACCCAGATGCCTTAAATTATTTGTGCCACACACATTTAGTCCTTGCCTATCTAAACAAATTTTTAAAGGATGAAAACTGACATAGGTGGCAACAGTGTTCAAACGCACAGCCTTTTATAGTCACTCAGTGAATGTTCAGTGAAAGGATGGATGAACGATTGAGTCTACAAGAGAAATGTCAAGTTGGATGAAACCTTAGAATGTAATGATTCCATTCTTCTTTTACTCAGATCCCTAACTGTTACTAGATATTGTTCTTGTTAAGTGCCTTCGAGTCAGTTCCTACTCATAGCGACCCTGTATACAGTTTCCAAGGAGCATCTGGTGGGCTTGAACCACCCATCTTGTGGTTCAAACTGACACTGTCGTTCAGCGCATTAACCCTCAGCACCACACCAGTGTATAAAAATGTCAATTTAATTTTCTAACATTACATATTTCCAAAATAATTATTTTGATCTTGAATATACTTTTTAAAGGAGTCCTGATATGGTGCTGTAGGATAAGTAGTGGACTGCTAACTACAAGGTAGGTTATTCAAACCCATCAGCGGATATCCTACACAGGGTCACTATGAGTCACAACTGACTAGAGGGCACTTAACAGC